GATTTGAAAATTCAAAGCAGTCCGCGTGGGACATAGTCAAGGACTTAGGGGCAGGAGGAGAGACCCTTTTGCTCCAACAGGAACTGGTAGATGCAGGAAGAACCCTATATGAGACGTTTGCTGGCCACACTCTTTACCTACAATTCCGGAGGCTCCTCCACAAAGAACTGGAAATATTTCCGGGAGTTGTCAGGATGCGGAAAGCTAGGAGTCCGATGAAACAACTCGAGGTAGAATGCAAGCGCATCGAAACACAACTGCGGAGCGCACGGAGAGAAAGGCGACGACAAGAGATGCGCCATCATTCCTACTGGCGCCGATTGTCATCTCTCTTTTTCAATCCTATCATTGCAATCCCGGAAGTCACGGAACATGACCTTGTAATCTTGTGAGTGGTGGGACTCTTATATTCCTTATATTCCTCTGAACACCTCGTGCTCAGTGTGGTTGGCCCAACGGGAGCGGGCAAGAGCTGGGTATGCAGCGCGGACATTTCGTAATTGAGCCGGATATCCTAATTTATCGGTAGTTCACCAAAAAGCTCTCCCAGAATGACGTTGTCCAAGCTGGCGAGATTCGACATCCCTGTGTCAAGTGGCTCGTCAAAGTATCAAGATTCAACTTCAAGAACAGCACGAACGGTATCCTAGTTGTCGACACGCCATCGTTTCATACCGATAATGACTTCTACGCTGGAGGCTCTATGACCTCTTGGTTGAAGTCGAGGCAAGTGCAAGAGCTTTCTTTTGGAATGTTTTCAAATACTGCTGCAGGTTCACTAAAAAATGTCGTTCCGGCATCCTTTTTCTCCACCCACTCGCCAAGGATCCTAGGGATCATGACGTACTGATGCAACGGCATCTCGATACGTTTGCAACGAGATTTCCTAACAAGTCCATGATTCCTTCCCGCGTCTATGTAGTGCCGACTGCGAATTCAGCGGATGCGAAGCTAAGTCAACGGTTGCCGGAGCTGGAAAGAGTGACAGAGTCGTCAAACGGCGATGCTGGCCACAAATGGCATATATCGGTGTTCCCTGGAGTGTTTGAAGGCCAACCGGAAATAGCATGGAGTGCAGCAGTGCTTCTGCTGAAGGATATAGTTGAGACTCAGGTACACCTCTCCAGAGTGCGCGATAAACTCATCGGATGACCGTATCTCCATTTCTATGTAGGCAAGTGAGATGTCCAGTTCCCGAAGACCTACTCTGAAGGACATCCATCCGAAACTCCCTGATGGCCGTGCGGCGCTCAAAATTCTTACGCATCATCTTTTCGAAGGGTTTGAGGAAACAGCGAACAGTAGCTTAGATGCGAAAATCATACTCGGACGAGTTGCACGGGACCTCACTCCTGCGAGCGACCCTGCTCACCTTTCAGCTGTCATCACTTGTGCTGATCTTCTTTCCGAGCGATTCGAGAAGGAAGGGAGGAAAGCGGACTTAGACGAGGTTGTCACTCTCAGGCGAATTGCTTGGGAATCTATGCCCCCGCATGACCCGAAGCGGCAGGGAGCACTCGCCACGCTGGACGATTCGCTCTACGAGCGCTTTAAGAGAGAGAGACGTGTCGTGGATTTGGAGGAAGTCATAACTCTTCGTCGAACTGCAGAACGTGCTTCCCTGCCAGATCGTTGCAGATCTCTTGTCCACCTTGCGAATGCCCTTCACGAAAGGTACCGGGTACTTCGTTTAAAGAGTGATCTGGAGGAGGCTACTAGGTTTGCACGTGACGCGTTAGCACTCAACCCACCAGGTCACCCAAATTATGCACTGAGTCAAGGATGTCTCGCGGATTGCCTGGAATCAAAGATCGAGAAAGGGGCTGCCCAAGTTCATGTGGAGAGGGCAGTGACAGACGCTTCCAAATGCAATCCCTCTGTTGTCCAGAAACTGATCACCGCCATTATCTCTGAAACCATCGCAAATATCCCACCACGGCTGTTGCATACGGAAACTGGCATCTTATGCGGTCGGGATGCGCAACTATCCATTTTCGTGAATAGCCCTGGATACCTGGAGCTATATTCATTGACGTCTCCAGCGGAGATTCGTGAGAAGATTTTATTGTTCTTCGAGTATACCACGCTATCACACAGATGGGGAATCCGCGAGCCATTACTACGCGATATTGAAGGTCAAAGCATCTATGACCTGGAGGGAACGGAGAGTCTGACGAAACTCCAAAAGTTTTGCATTTTCTCGTTCAGACGTAATTTCTTATGGGCATGGAGTGATACCTGTTGCATCGACAAAGACAGCAGCGCGGAGCTTCATGAGGCTATAGGATCTATGTTTTCCTGGTATCATCGGTCGTCCCTGACAATTGTGTATCTGTCTGACGTCTCCGACCCTGGTTCACTTGCTAATAGTGTCTGGTTCAAGCGCGGATGGACTCTTCAGGAACTACTGGCTTCACGCACCTTGCTGTTCTACATGCAAGACTGGTCACTCGTCATGCACTCTGAAGCTGGAAACCACAAAACGGAACCCGCTATGCTCGAAGAGCTTCAGCAAGCCACGGGGGTGGCGATGCAGCATCTTCAAGACTTCTCTCCGGGTATGGACGACGCACGATCAAGACTCCGCTGGGCATCTGGCCGTCGTACCACCCGACCCGAAGATATCGCCTACTCTCTGTTCGGAATTTTTAAAATCCACTTGCCAGTATTCTACGGAGAATCTGTGCAAGATGCGCTTGGACGTCTTTTAGCAGAGATCATATCGCAATCAGGAGATATCTCGGTTCTTGATTGGGTTGGGAAGGCGTCATCATTCCACAGCTGTTTCCCTGCCAACCTCATACCATATCAGACAGAGTCCTGCACACAGTCAATTCCATGTGATTCAACCAGATGCAACAGCCTCGACCTCGAGGGCGCACGGAAATTGTACAACACCCTTGCGAAGTTACCCCGTCCCCGATTCGCCCATCGTAGTCTCATATTACCCACCATTGCCTATCGTATCGTGGCATTTAAGCTGCTAGGAGTCACTACCAGCCCCCCAGGTTATGGATACGAGATTCATGCGTCGCATCTGATGCCCCTGGTGGTCACTCTGTCTGTTTGTCTTGGGGAGGACCCCGCGACCTATATTCTCATTCGTCCTTGGCATCCAAAACGGGTCGAAACACGGATAGAGAGCGAAGTTGATGCTACGCGGGAGTTGCTCAAACAGCTCGAACGTCCATTCAATGCGATTCTACTGATGAGATTACCCCACAACGAGTACAAGAGAATCGCAAGTAATTGTGCGATCACTGCTCGCGTCCAGGATCCGCGTAGTGTTGCAGACAGCGAAATCCTAAGCCTGGAGATTGTATAGGTCAGCTTGCGGTAGTCACATGATGGAGTCTCGCGACATTTTCCCACCTTCCTTCCGGCTGTCCACACGTTCTGTCAAAGCAGGGCTGCCATCTGCGTCATTCTCCGGTAGATGCTTTCGTTTCTGCTTCTAGACGATCGAGTTCCAAAAATGACAGGATGTATCGCAATAAATGTAGACTTGTTGAGGTGCATTGATTGGCGATGGTGATAAATAGCTTTGGTAGGCGAAGAAGGATCCGCAAACGCGCCTCAGGGACCAAACATGATGGTATGACAACAACAGGAATTTCATGGCAGATCCACGTGCTGTGAGCCTGTGTGCTTCCCTTCGATCCCACCGGATACCAGCGACAGCTGACTAGTGACTCTGAATTCTAGGCGTGCACTTTGACAGTCCTTGATATCTTGTACAAACTACATATGTATGTAGCATACGATACATGTTAGGTATGTTTTTATTTTACATTTCGAAACAGGCAGATTTTTGCAGTGGCTACAGTTTCCACGAGGAGGCATACTTCTGAAGTGTGAGGCAGAAAAGGTGGACCGCAATGCGGATCTGCAAAAGATGATCACTTGAACCGTATAACGTGTAGCATGGAATGGGAAGGGGGAGAATCATGTTGTACAGCACAACTAGGGACACAAAAATGAACATGTACATGGGCATCGTACATGCAAACGACAAAAGGCAGCAGAGTAGCACGATCCATAGCAATGGCCCAAACCTTGCCCGGAGAGTGAGAGGCTGACGCAGCTGTTTAGAATACGGTATTTAGGGTGAAAGGGCTTGCTCTGGCTCTACGGGAATGCCGCAACTGCAGTTGTCCTAATCGATGGACATAAGATGATTACTCCAAGGCACGAAAAGGAGAAAGTACCAACAATCTCCAAGGCCCGTTTCAGGGCCACCAAACCTTTGTCGATACCACGGAGGTCATATTTTATGGAGGATGCCGACTGCAGAAGTTATCAGCCGCAAGCGACACAGGTAGGCCTTTGCACGTACTGGGAGGACCTCGCGCAGCAGGCGTATCGAATGTGCGCAGAAAGAAATGATACGGACATCTGTCGGTTGAAGGACATGTCGCGCTTCAGGTGTCCTTTGGGCGAGATCCTGAATGATTTCCTGCACGTGGTTTATTTCCCTGGCAAGTTATTAAGTTTATACATGTGATATTCATCATCATCATACTTCGCAAACTTGCTGACTGCCGCCTGTATACCTGGCAAGAACGTCGTCTCTTTCGCACGGTCAACCGCAGCATTTATCAGCAACGTAGCGGTTTCCAAAACTTGGAAATGCGCATGGTGCGTTCCTGTCATGGTCTTTAATGAAGGGGTCATCAAATCTCTTCAACATCACGCGCTGACTCACTTGCCTCAATGGACAGAGCAATGCTAAGACATGGTGCGATTGCGTCCTTCAGATAATCGATATGGGCAACTTCTGGTGCGTCAAAGGCGGTCCGCAAAGTGGTTGTTAGCTGCGGCAAAGCACTTTGATAACCTTCCACGCTGCAAGTTCCAGAACTATATATTCCCGTCTCAACGGACTCAGCATCGGTGGGATCATAGGTGAAGGTGACAGTGATCCTCGTCGTCCGATAACTCGGCCTCCCCATAGCCTTTCTAATCCGTGCCAAAATCCCATTGGAGCCGATCCTGAGGCTGAGAAGCCTGGAAACCGTTTTTCCTGCAGACGTTCTATCAAGTGGTAGGTGTTTATCTACTATTTCCCGTTGGATTTGAAGCGGGCGACGCTCAGCCGGCCGTGAAATTGAAACCGAATTAATTATATCCCGAGCAGATTCGGTGGTCCCTTCGAAGCGGCGAGTGGTTGATCCTAAACGGATCATCGCCTGCCAGAAGTCAGACTGTAGATCCTGTTCGCGTTCCGAGCCGATCTCTTCCCATACTTGATCCCACATCGTGGTAACGAATATGACATTCTTGCAGTTGTCTTTTCCACATAGTTCTTTGAAGATGTTGTAGTTCCTTGAAGGCGCTTCTTGAATGCTGGTGTCTGAAATCCGATGGAAATATAGGATACCGCTCAATTTGACGCCTTTTCTATACCTAAAACCTTATCAGAATTGGAATCGCTCGCAGCCAAGCGAGCTACTTACACCGCTTCCAGCCAATCTGCAATTTTCCAAAGAACCTCGAAATCTGTCATGAATGAATTATTGCACCCTGGGGTATCGACCAAAACAACGTTGCGAACGCCATCGGGGTGAGCATATCGGACAGGGCACACTTCCTTTGTGCAGGAAGTCGATCGGCGGCCCACATCGGGACTTCTGACTGCGCGGTCGATAAACTAGGTATAGTCATTCAGAAGAATGTTTACAGATGTGCGGGATGCTTACTGTGGTCTTCCCCGTGTCAGTAGGGCCCATGACACTGTCTTTGATTACTAAGATCGAGGATCCAAAAGTGAGCTGCACGGACGCACGCAATGACGATATCGTCCGGGGTAATAGTAACTTCTTCAGCGGGCGATGTAGGGGGCGGCATTTCCTCACTCGCTTCGTCAAATCTGCTTTCGTGGTCGACAGTAGTGTCATCCCGAGGGGTGCTGGGAAACAAGTGGAGCCTGTCCAGCCAGGTGCGGACATTCCAATTTCTTCTCAGCGGTGTGCGACGATCATCCTCGTACGAGTCGCATTCAGATGCATTGCCCAAAGGAGCTGAAACGATGGTGGCGGCCGCAAACATGGAGGACCCTTCCACTCCGTCAACCCCACGCCTTATTGGAGAGTGAGATCGAGAGCGACCCTAATCCGCTATCAGCTGAAGGAGCGCGTGAAGAACAGGTGGGTTTACCTGTGACGGAGACATGAGGAAACGTAGGAGAATGCTGCCAGAAGGCGAGGCTGGGGCACTGCACTGCATTTGGCATAGCACCACAAGGCAGGACACTCATGGCACGAGGATTACCCGGATGAGAACTTGAATGCGCTAACAGGCAGCCAGCATTCCGCGCGGAAAACAAAAACTCTTCGAGCATGGTCATCCTCGTCCTTGCCACTTCTCGGCGGTGTCCCATGTCCTTTGGGGGGAAGAAAGCGGTAGAGAACAAGCCACCTCTCTTCTCTGTGTGTAACGGACGATGAGATTTGCATTCAACCGAGACTCATCAAGTCAACGAAGGAAAACGCCACTGATTACAACGAAGTGCTTGACATACGTGACCACCCTTGTTCCGCAAACAGAGCAGGATCCGGTTTTTCGGAATCGAGTGCATACACAACAGCGCTGATTCCCGGTTGGGGATAGTGATTGATTGAAAATGTATCAGGCAGGTTACCTTGCGGAGGGGAGAATTGTGGCTGTGTTAGGCCTGATTTGATTGTTTCCGGGTTGGCGCATTTACTTGGGTTGTCGAAAGTTCGATATATTGTCTTATCGAAGAAATGATTGTTACTATAAGCCACAGTAACACGGGCTTGTTCAGTAAGCATAGCGTAGAACCTGGTCGGTGACTAGTGACTGCAGATGCACAGGTTCACTGGGGGTGACGACCTTCAATACATTTGCCGAAGTCGGATTTTGATTTGTTCGATCAAGAAATGCAACCCTATAAATGAAGACGACAATGGGTCCCAAAGCAGGTCCCTGTTTGAGATTATAGGCCTTCTTCGATCTTGCTGTGAGGGTAGGAATCAACTGTATTGTCCGAAAGACTCGAAGCTGCCGCAAACCGGGAAGACACCCCTTCGACTTCGTCGACCCCACTCCTTATTGGAGAGCGAGACAGAGAGCGAGCCTATTTCCGCTATTAGCTGAGGGGTGTGCGAAGAAGTGGTTTACCTGCGACGGAGACATGAGGAAACGCAGGAGGATACTGCAAGAAGGCAAGGCCGGGGCTTGGGCTTGAACATGCACTGCACTGCATTTGGCACACCGCAAGGATCACCCAGATTGGAAAGCGGCATGCGACTCGGAGCCAGCTCGTCACGTGGAGAGTCGTATCCATATCAAGAAAACGAAGTAAAGTGCCACATCACGAGGTGTTGGGCATGTCCGACTCGGGGTATGAAACGTATTGGAGGGCAGTGACCGTCCTTGTTGCGCAAACAAGTATTTGGCTATTTTGGGGTTGTCAACAGCCCTAATCCTCGGTTGGGAAGTGCGAGTTCGGATAGTCATTGGAAACATGTGAAGCAGTGGACGCGCACGTGCCCAGTTAATGAGGATACTTAATATACAATCGCCTTGTTGAAATCCCTTCTACATGCGCAGAACGGTTTCCAAGCCCAAAATTGTTGTGTATGTCCTCCTTTTTTTTATGAATGTCATTCATCATTCAACACCTTCACTCTGCCTTAGAGTCATGGGACCTGTGGGGTCCAGGCGGAGCAATGTAAGTCCAGGGATCCGTGCATCCAGTTCATTGGTTAAACGTCGTGGCACAATTCATCAACACACTTACGGGAATTGAAGCAGCAGAGGCAATGCGTGGGCTGGGGTCGAGCATGCAGGATATCGGAGAAGTCCCGGTGAGGCTGCCCAATAATCGAGAATATGTGTTTGTAGATACTCTTGGGTTCAATAACCCTGATCGACCGGCCAGGGATACACTCAACACCATCGCTGACTGGTTAGAGAGGAAGTGAGTGGATGTGTATGATCGTGACAGGTTACTGGCTAACCAATGCGCAGATATCGAGGGGGCGCCTTACTCACGAGGGTTGTCTATACCCATCGAATTACCAACCCCTGGATGGACGGTTTATTGCGTGAAAGCCTGGACATATTTGGTTGTATATGTGTGACCAAAGCCGCCGGGCGCGTGCAGCTGGTAACTACCATGTGGGACCGAGTGAAAGATCCCACAGCCGCAGAGACCATGGTGTCACAACTGGAAGAGAACTTCTGGAAGCCCTTACTCAATGCAGGTACTCGTCATATGCGATTTGAAAATTCCAAGCAATTGGTGTGGGACATAGTCGAGGATTTGGGGGTGGAAGGACAACCCCTTTTATTCCAGCAAGAACTGGTGGACGCAACAAGGAACCTATACAAGATGTTTGCTGGCCATGCGCTCTACCTGCAATTGCAGAAGCTTCTCCTGGAAGAACCGGAAACATGCGAGCCATTTTTGGGAGTTTTCAAAACGCGGAAAGTTCGGAGACCGAAGAAGCGGCTCGAGGTAGAGTGCGAGCGTATTGAAATGCAACTGCGGAAGGCACGGAAAGAGAGGCAAAGACTAGAGATACGCCGACATTCCTACTAGCGTCAATTGTCATCTTTCTTTTCTAGTCCCAACATTACAATCCTGGAAGTTACGGGAGATGACCTTGTAATCTTGTGAGTGGCGGGACACTTGTGTACTTTACCTTCCTCTGATCGCCCTCACGCACAGTGTGGTTGGCCCAACGGGAGCAGGCAAGAGTTGGGTGCGCAATGCAGACATTTCATTGTAGCTGGAGTATCTTAATTGTGGCTAGTTCACCAAAAAAACTGTCACAGAATGCCGTGATCCAAGCCGAAGAGGACCCACATCCTTGTACAAGATGGCACGTGAGCGCATCGAGATACAACCTCAAGGACAGCACAAACCATATCATAGTCGTCGACACCACATCGCTTCATACCAATTACGACTTCTACACCGAAAGAATTACAACTTCTACACCGAAAGAATTATGACTTCTTGGTTGAAGTCCAGGTAAGCGCAAAAACTCCCTCCTGGAATGTTTTCAAATACTGCTGCAGGTTCACTAAAAAGTGTCCATCTGGCATTCTTTTTCTTCACTCGCTTGCCAAGGATCCGAAGGATCATGACATACTGATGCAGCGGCACCTCGATACGTTTGCAATGAGATTTCCTAACAAGTCCATTGTTCCTTCCCACATTTACGTGGTACCGACGGGGAACCCAGCGGATGCGAAGCTAGGTCAACGGTTGTCTGAACTAGAAAGTGTGATGAAGTCGTCGAACGTCAATGGTAGCTGCAAATGGCATGTGTCAATGTTCCCTGGAGTGTTTGATGGCGGACCGGTAATAGCATGGAGCACGGCAGTTCTTCTCAAGAACATGGTTGAGAATCAGGTACATCTCTTCATTACATTCGATAGACTTACCTGGATGACCATATCTCCATCTCTGCGTAGACAAATGAGATGTTCAGCTCTCGAAGACCCACGTCAAAGGAAATCCCCCCGAAGCTCCCAGATAACCGTGCAGGACTCAAAAATCTTGCGGAGCACCTTTTCGGAAGGTACAAAGAGGAATCGATGAACAATAGTTTGGACGCGAAAATCGTGCTCGGGCGAGTTGTTCGGGACCTCACTCCCGCGAGCGACCCTGGTCACGTTTCAGCTCTCATCGCTTATGCTGATCTTCTTTCCGAACGATTCGCGAAGCAAGAGAGGAAAGCGGACTTGCACGAATTCGTCACTCTCAGACGCACCGCTTGGCAATCTACGCCTCCGCACGACTCAAGGTGGAAAGGAACGCTCGCCACGCTGGACGATGGCTTATATGCACGCTTCGGGAGGGGAGGTGTCGCAGATTTGGAGGAAATCATATCTCTTTGTCGAACTGTGTCACAACTTACTTCCCCGCCAGATCTCTGCAGATCTCCCGTCCACCTCACGAATGCCCTTCACAAAAGATATCGGATACTTTGTTTAAGGAGTGATCTAGAGGAAGCTATTAAGCTTGCACGTGACGCATTGGCACAATATCCCTCCGACGACCCAGATCATGCGCTGGCTCAGGAATGTCTCGTGGATTGCCCCCAAACAAAGGTCGGAAAAGGAGCTGCTTATGCAGCGAGGGCAGTGACAGATGCTTCCGAATGCAACCCCTCTGATATCCAGAAGGTGATCACGAACATTATTTCTGAAACCGTCACAAAAATGCCACCGCGACTGTTGCATACACCAACTGGCGCCTTATGCGATCAGGATGTGCTGATATCCCATTTCGTGAATAGCCCTGCATACTTGGGACTATATTGACATCTCCAGCGCAGGTCCATGCGAAGATTTCATTGTTCTTTTGGTTTACCACGCTATCCCACAGATGGGGAATTCGCCAGCCATTACTACGCGACATTGAAGGCGAAGTGATCTATGACTTGGAGCGGACGCAGTGTCTGGCGAAACTCTAACAATTTTGTCTTGTCTCACTCAGACACAAGTTCTCATGGGCATGGAGCGATACTTGTTGCATCGATAAAGACAGCAGCGCAGAGCTTCAAGAAGCTATAGGATCCATGTTTTCTTGGTATCATCGATCATCCCTGACAATTGTTTACCTGTCTGATGTCTCCGACACCGGCTCACTAGCTGGCAGTATCCGGTTCAAGCGCAGGTGGACACTTCAGGAATTACTGGCTTCACGCGCCTTGTTCTATATGCAGGACTGGTCACCCAGCATGAACTC